CACTGGCCTGAGCTCAGAGGGACTGGGGAGGGGAGAGCGGGGGTCCCCAGTGGAGGCAATGGAGGGACAGTGGTCCCTGTGGTTTAGGTACTTGTCATCTCATTGCTCTGGCTCAGCATTCCCACCCAGCCTGCACCCAGCCTGCCTCCTGGGCAGTGGGCGGTGTTTTCTCATCTCAGCTGGTTGAACACAGGGCTGGCTCCTGTGTGCACAGGCCCTCAGGGGCTCCCCACTACTGCTCCTCTCATGTCCCCTGGGAGAGTGGGTGGTGGGACATGGGATCAGATATTGGGGTGAGCAGATGCCACCTGGGGACGGGGAAGGGTGAGGAAGCTGATCAATAACGGGGTGATGGGACATTATCAGGGAACGGGTGGTCAGATATAGGGTGGTGGGACATCACCGAGTGTGTACGGAGAAACCCGAGAGACAAGGCTAAGAGCCGAGGGCGGCTGAAGTGCCCAGACTTGACGAAGAGAGCCGAGGGTCCTCGGAAGGGCCGAGTGTGTACGGAGAAACCCGAGAGAACGCGAAGAGCCGAGGGAGATGGAAGTGCAGAGACTTCACGAAGAGAGCCGAGTGTATACGGAGAAACCCGAGAGAACGCGAAGAGCCGAGGGCGGCTGAGGTGCGGAGATTTACGAAGAGAGCCGAGTGTTTACGGAGAAACCCGAGAGAACGCGAAGAGCCGAGGGAGATGGAAGTGCAGAGACTTCACGAAGAGAGCCAAGTGTGTACGGAGAAACCCGAGAGACAACGCGAAGAGCCGAGGGCGGCTGAAGTGCCGAGTCTTGATGAAGAGTGCTGAAGGGAGCCGAGTGGCCTCGGAAGGGCCGAGTGTGTACGGAAAGGGCCGAGGGTCGAGGACTGTGTGGAAAAGGGGGACCCAAAGAGCCGATTTTGGCAGGGAGTAGTCGAGGGCCGAAGAACCGGTTCAGGGGCGGCGCAGAGTGTCCAGGTCCTGAGGGGACCGCGGGGAACCACGAAGAGGGCACCAGAGGGCCAGAGGCGGTGGACGGGCCGGGGGCAGGCGGGGAGGGGAACACGGCGGCGGGAGGTGATCTGGGTCCGGCGGAGAGTGGGGGCGGCGCAGGCTTGGAGGAGGGAGGCCCTGGAGGAGGCTGGTGGCTGGTGTCGGACTGACCGGAAGTAGAGTCAGGGGCGGCGGCAGGGCAGGGTCCAGGGCAAGCGCCAGGGCCTGGGGCGGGGCAGTAGGCGGTGCTGGAGGCCCGGGGTGTGAGTCCGCGCCTTCAGCCTGGACCTCCTAGGGTCGGCCCAGGTCAGGTGTAGCCTGAGAACAGCCAGAGGAATACCATTTTGTGGTCAGTGGCGGAAGCCTGTGTCCCTCAGGAAGCCTCCCTGCAGAAGTACCCAGCCCGACACCCCTCAGAGATCTGATGGACTCCAGGGCACAGAGCCTGAAGAGTCCTGGCAGGGGTGGGGTCGTGAATGTACCCAGGACACTGCGTCCTCCCCCAGTCGGCACTCGGGACACACCGTCCTCCTCCAGTCTACACTGTGGACACAGTGTCCTTCTCCAGTCTACACTGCGGACACCATGTCCTCCTCTAGTCTACACTCGGGAGACTCAGATACAGTGTCCTCCTCCAGCCTACACTCGGGATACATTGTCCTCCTCCACCTTACATTCAGGACATCCGTGTCCTCCTCCAGTCTACACTCGGGACACCGTGTCCTCCTCCTGCCTACAATTGGGACACAGTGTCCTCCTCCAGCCTACACTGGGGACACAGTGTCCTCCTCCAGGCTACACTGGGGACACAGTGTCTTCCTCCAGCCTACACTCGGGACACAGTGTCCTCCTACAGTATACACACCGAACACCTTATCCCTCCTCAGTGACCTTGGCTTCCCATGAGAGTGACCATGAGGAGCACTTGTGTGCACACCCCAGACAGTAGACGAGGCACTTCCCTTGGAGGGCACCTGTCTTCAAGGTCGCCCAGTGGAGGAGGCCCCCGGCCTCCAGCCCTGTCTGTGGGACTCTCCATTCAGAAATTAGACTTGCCCTAGCAACAAAGGTACCTGGCTCACAAACCCAGCTAAGACCGAATTCCCCTTTTCCCGGCCCATGTGGGAAGGACTCAGCCCTACTGGCCCCTGTTGGCTCCCCAGGCCGCCTTCCACCTGCTGGAGCAGCCCTGTTTGGCAATCCAAGCCCCTGCCTGTGCTCCTAGTTTGTCTTGCTGGGCCGTAATTATCTGTTAGGAGACCTTCTCCACAGGGAAATGCCAGAGGAAGCAGCTGCCCAAGGCCCCGGCCCTGCACCGCCCTCTTCCTGGGCAAAGGGCAGCTGAATTTTTCCAGGGTGAGTTCACATTTAGACAGAGTGGGCCCTGGATCCCCCCAACCAGGAGGGGCTTTGTGTACCATTGTTCTCCAAGGCCTACACCTGTCCCCACTGCTGTCTGTACCAGGGTACTGACCTTGGCCATCTCCCAAGGTGAAAGAGCTCTTTCATCACATTGTAGGGATGGATGGGCCCCACTAGGAATGTCCCCCAGGACTGTGAGCTGTCTGCTGCTGGAGAAAGAGTCTGTGCAGGTGTAATAGGTGAAGGGTCTCGGGATGAGCTCCTCCTGGACACGAGGCCCTCATGCAATGCCACTGTGCTCCCAAGAGAGAAAGAGGGGACACAGACACAGAGGAGGAGCCACATGGAGATGGAGGAAGAGACTGGAGTGAGGGGTCAGCAGCCAAGGCCACCTGGAGCCCCAGGAGCTGGAGAGGCAGGAGGAGCACCCTGGAGCCTGTGGAGGGGGCTGGACACCATTGAAACAGGCGGGTCCTGTCCACACCTTGACCCCAGAACCTGTGAGTGGGACCTTGTGTGGGAACAGGGTCTCTGCAGAGGTAGTTAGTAAGCGGTCCTGAGATAGCTCCTTCTGGATCAGGTGGCCCTCATGCAATGGCCGTGTCCTTGAAACAGAAGAGGGGACAGACTCAGAGGAGAAGCCACGTGGAAGATGCATTTCCACTTAAGGCCCCAGGTTGGTGGTCACTGGCTCCAGCAGGCCCTCTGCTGTGTGGGTCTCATGAAGGCAGATGGACCCTGCTGCAGCGGTCACAGGAGCTGTGTGACACGGTCTGGACAAAAAACCATGGAAGAGCTGTTGTCTTTGGGGTCCTGCCCGTTGCCACATGTGGGCATCCCACCTCGGGGTGCTGCACAAGCCTCCTGTGCAGAGGGCCATGGGGACCCTCCCCTCACTGCTGAGGGGGCCTCACTGCTTCCAAATCTCAGTTTTGCTGTGAAGTCAGGGCTGATGCCTGGGGTCACTACCCACTAGACCAAAGGGCCCCGAACACCCAATGCCCACCCTGGGGGCTGCCCTCTTCCTGATGTTCTTGTGCTGCTTAGACCCAGGCCCCTTGGCCAGACTGACTCAGGTGGCTCAGAGTTCAGCTCTGCAGCAGGTGGGGACACTCAGTAGTGTAGCAGGACTGAGCACGGACAGGGAGGGAGGGGTACAGGGGGTGTGAGCAGGGAGAGGGAGGGAGGGGTACAGGGGGTGTGAGCAGGGAGAGGGAGGGAGGGGTACAGGGGGGTGTGAGCAGGGAGAGGGAGGGAGGGGTACAGGGGGTGTGAGCAGGGAGAGGGAGGGAGGGGTACAGGGGCCTGTGAGCAGCGAGAGGGAGGGAGGGGTACAGGGGGGTGTGAGCAGGGAGAGGGAGGGAGGGGTACAGGGGCCTGTGAGCAGGGAGAGGGAGGGAGGGGTACAGGGGGGTGTGAGCAGGGAGAGGGAGGGAGGGGTACAGGGGCCTGTGAGCAGGGAGGGGGAGGGATGGGTACAGGGGGGTGTGAGCAGGGAGAGGGAGGGAGGGGTACAGGGGGGTGTGAGCAGGGAGAGAGAGGGAGGGGTACAGGGGCCTGTGAGCAGGGAGGGGGAGGGATGGGTACAGGGGGGTGTGAGCAGGGAGAGGGAGGGAGGGGGACAGGGGGGTGTGAGCAGGGAGAGGGAGGGAGGGGTACAGGGGGCTGTGAGCAGGGAGGGGGAGGGAGGGGGACAGGGGGCTGTGAACAGGGAGAGGGAGGGAGGGGTACAGGGGGGTGTGAACAGGGAGAGGGAGGGAGGGGTACAGGGGGCTGTGAACAGGGAGAGGGAGGGAGGGGTACAGGGGCCTGTGAGCAGGTAGAGGGAGGGAGGGGTACAGGGGGGTGTGAGCAGGGAGAGAGAGGGAGGGGGACAGGGGGCTGTGAGCAGGGAGAGGGAGGGAGGGGTACAGGGGGGTGTGAGCAGGGAGAGGGAGGGAGGGGTACAGGGGCCTGTGAGCAGGGAGAGGGAGGGAGGGGGACAGGGGGCTGTGAGCAGGGAGAGGGAGGGAGGGGGACAGGGGGCTGTGAACAGGGAGAGGGAGTGAGGGGGACAGGGGGGCTGTGAGCAGGGAGAGGGAGGGAGGGGTACAGGGGGCTGTGAGCAGGGAGGGGGAGGGATGGGTACAGGGTGGGTGTGAGCAGGGAGAGGGAGGGAGGGGTACAGGGGGCTGTGAGCAGGGAGAGGGAGGGAGGGGGACAGGGGGCTGTGAACAGGGAGAGGGAGGGAGGGGTACAGGGGGCCTGTGAACAGGGAGAGGGAGGGAGGGGTACAGGGGGGCTGTCAGCAGGGAGCGGGAGGGAGGGGTACAGGGGGCTGTGAGCAGGGAGAGGGAGGGAGGGGGACAGGGGGGTGTGAGCAGGGAAAGGGAGGGAGGGGTACGGGGGCTGTGAGCAGGGAGAGAGAGGGAGGGGTACAGGGGGGTGTGAGCAGGGAGAGGGAGGGAGGGGGACAGGGGGCTGTGAGCAGGGAGAGGGAGGGAGGGGTACAGGGGGCTGTGAGCAGGGAGAGGGAGGGAGGGGGACAGGGGGCTGTGAGCAGGGAGAGGCAGGGATGTGTACAGGGGCCTGTGAGCAGGGAGAGGGAGGGAGGGGTACAGGGGGGTGTGAGCAGGGAGAGGGAGGGAGGGGTACAGGGGGGTGTGAGCAGGGAGAGAGAGGGAGGGGGTGACAGGAGTAAACATCAAGGATGAATAAACAACATGAATCAGCAAAAGGACTTGTTTTGGACTTGTTTTGGACTTTGCAGTGACTAAGTGACTTTTTAGTTGTAAACATGTTTTGGTTATAGGATGACTAGATAGTATGCCCATGTTAGATAAGTTGATGATGTAACTAGGTAGTGTGCTTATGTTAGATAAGTTAGACATAAACAAGTTTGTTGTAAACATATAGAGTATATAAGCGCGAGGGAAACTCCATGTATTTGCTCACAATCAACTCTCATCGCCTGAGAGTAAGATCGTGCAGTGTGAGCCAGCCACCTCGTGTATTGCTTTGTGTGGTGTGCGAATAAACCAGCATTTCAAAAGGCAATCGAGTTCGTGCTTGGTGTTCGCGTACGTCGCGGTCCGGGGTCCAGTGCAGATATCCGGAAGGGAACTCCTGGTAACCAGACAAGGCTGAGAAGCTGCTCGTGACAGGGGGACAGGGGGGTGTGAGCAGGGAGAGGGAGGGAGGGGGACAGGGGGGGTGTGAGCAGGGAGAGGGAGGGAGGGGTACAGGGGTCTGTGAGCAGGGAGGGGGAGTGATGGGTACAGGGGGCTGTGAGCAGGGAGAGAGAGGGAGGGGTACAGGGGGGTGTGAGCAGGGAGAGGGAGGGAGGGGTACAGGGGGCTGTGAGCAGGGAGAGGGAGGGAGGGGTACAGGGGGCTGAGAACAGGGAGAGGGAGGGAGGGGTACAGGGGGGTGTGAGCAGGGAGAGGGAGGGAGGGGTACAGGGGGCTGTGAACAGGGAGAGGGAGGGAGGGGTACAGGGGGGTGTGACCAGGGAGAGGGAGGGAGGGGTACAGGGGGGCTGTGAGCAGGGAGAGGGAGGGAGGGGTACAGGGGGCTGTGAACAGGTAGAGGGAGGGAGGGGTACAGGGGGGTGTGAGCAGGGAGAGGGAGGGAGGGGGACAGGGGGCTGTGAGCAGGGAGAGGGAGGGAGGGGTACAGGGGGCTGTGAGCAGGGAGAGGGAGGGAGGGGTACAGGGGGCTGTGAACAGGTAGAGGGAGGGAGGGGTACAGGGGGGTGTGAGCAGGGAGAGGGAGGGAGGGGTACAGGGGGCTGTGAGCAGGGAGAGGGAGGGAGGGGTACAGGGGGGTGTGAGCAGGGAGAGGGAGGGAGGGGTACAGGGGGCTGTGAGCAGGGAGAGGGAGGGAGGGGTACAGGGGGCTGTGAGCAGGGAGAGGGAGGGAGGGGTACAGGGGCCTGTGAGCAGGGATAGGTGTGTGGGTGCCCCGATTCCCTCTACAAGCAGATGAATTTCGACTGGGCACCCCCACCCCATAGCTACCAAGGTCTATATGATGCAGGGTTCCAAGTCTCTCCAAATGGGAGCTCCCCCTTTTCCCCAGAAGCTCTCCTGGGACTGTGGGGGTCATGCCTTTGGGGCAGGGCCTCCCAAAGACTCTCTTCTGGTTAGGGAGGTCCTTGCTGCGCAGGGCATGAGTTCTGTGGCCCGCTAATGTCAGTGTCCACATCCACTGCCGGCCCTGGGAATGCCAAAGGCCCTCTGCCACCTGATAGGTAAGGATGCGGAGAGGGAGATGACCTGGAGGGTCTTGGGGCCCAAGGAGTCAGCAGGGTGCTGAGAAGAGGGGCAGATGGAGAAGGGACAGAGGGGACAGGGAGACAAACTGGAGTGATGAGGACCCAAGGCTAGGGCCTGGGGTCCTGAGGTGGGGGAGATGCAGGAAGGAGCTTCCCAGGACCCTGCAGAGGACAGCCTGCCCTTCAGGACCCCAACCCCAGAGATGTGGACCAGAGGCAGGAGGTGCTTTGAGCCCCGAGGGTGTAGGGCTGACGGCGGCCAGCAGGGGGCGCAGGCAGTCTTCTGAGCATCAGCGCCGCTGTCTGCCTTGAGGAAGGGACTGGGTCCATCCCATGATCACACACAGGGCAGGTGAGCAGGGATGTCCTGGTCCTGCCGGCCCTGGACACACAGGGCAGGTGAGCCGGGCAGTCTGATGAACAGGTGCTCGTGGAAGGTGACCGTGACACAGACTCAGGGCTGTGACGGGGGCAGCTGCAGGACCCAGTCACTCAGGAGAGGCTCAGGTGGAGGCTCAGGCCACAGCCTGGGGAACAAGTCAGTCACTCGTGGGAGAGGAAAGTGCTCCAGCGGGACCCTGAGGCCCAGCCCGGGCTCTTGAGGGACATGGAGTGCTGGGCACAGGAGGAGGGAGGCTCAGGCCCTGGGCTGTGGGATTTGGTGATGGAGGAGCACTGAGCCTCTCAGGGAGACTTCTGTCCCTAGGCAGACCCACAGCCTGAGTCCCACCTTGCCCTGTGCCTCTCCCAGGAAGCAGCCTAAGGCGAGGTGACCCGAGGCTCTGGCAGACCCAGGGTGCTTTCCTGTCTCACAGCCCCTGGGCGACAACCCCAGTCAGGAAGGAGTAGGGACAGGGGGTGCTCAGCTGAGCCCCAGAGGAGGCCACTCCTAGACAGGAGACATGATGGAGCAGTGCCACCACTCACAGACCCAAAGAGAGGAGGGCAGGGTCTCATGCTCAGGGACAGAGGGAGCCAACTGACCCACCAGGGGGCAGGGGACATGACCCCGGGGTCTAGGCCTGTGTCGGGGTCCAGCGAGTCACTCCAGCAGGTCTCCCACAGGGAGTCCCACCTGGTGGGCTCCCCACAAGCACGCAGGTCATTGCAGCTCCCAAGGTGCCCCAGGGCCACCACGGCTTCTCTGGACAGCCAAGTGGGACGTGGGGCCAGCAGGCCGAGTCCAGCAAACTATCTCCAGCTGTCCCACAGGGAGGGAGGAGTGTCACCAGGAGGGTGAGAACTGGACACTGTCCATGTGACTGAGCCCTGCTCTGGTGGGGGAGCCCACCCCATGCCAGCAGGGTGGCAGCAGGACACCGAGGAGTCACTGCAGGGGACACAGGCTCACACTGACTAGGCACAAGGGTCCTGCTCTGGGGGAGCAGACGGGGAGAGGGTGGTGCCAGGGAGACCTGGTTGAAGAGGCTCCCAAACCCAGGGGTCTGCAGAGCTGAGCAGAGGGGAGGGGGGAAGGAGCCCCAGGGCCCAGGGAGCTGCAGAGCTGAGAAGAGGGGAGCCCCAGGGAGCTGCAGAGCTGAGAAGAGGGGAGCCCCAGGGAGCTGCAGAGCTGAGAAGAGGGGAGCCCCAGGGAGCTGCAGAGCTGAGCGGGAAGGAGCCCCAGGGCCCAGGGAGCTGCAGAGCTGAGCAGAGGGGAGGCAGGAAGGAGACCTGGGGCCCAGGGAGCTGCAGAGCTGAGCAGAGGGGAGGCAGGAAGGAGACCTGGGGCCCAGGGAGCTGCAGAGCTGAGCAGAGGGGAGGCAGGAAGGAGACCTGGGGCCCAGGGAGCTGCAGAGCTGAGCAGAGGGGAGGGAGGGAGGAGCCTGGTGGACAGGACATCTGGAAGGCTGGGATGAGGGGCCAACTTTGGATGCAATTTCATGGCCCTGTTAGTGTCCTGCGCTTGGAAACAAAGTGTCACAGGGGCTGAAACCATTTCGCCAGTCCGGTGGGATCTTCTCCCCCAGCCTTGGAGGGCAGAAGGCTGAGACCAGGGGTAACAGGGCTTAGCTACCTCCCCAGGCTCCAGGCATGTCTTGTCCAGCTACAGAGGGGACTTTACAGATGGCGGGAGTGCCAAGGTGGCCCTTCAGCACTTGGCCAGTGCAGGGGAACCCTGGGGCTGATGTAGGAAATGACCACAAACCAGCAGCTGAAAACCACAGGAACCTGTCCTCTGCCAGCCCTGGAGGACAGAGGCCAAGACCTGGGGCCCCAGGCTGAGATCCCTGCACAGGCTCCAGGTGGCCCAGGGCTGGTGGCCCCTCACTGCAGTCTCTGCCTCCGTCTCCACGTGGCTCCTCCTCTGTGCCTGTGTCCCCTCCTCTGTCTCTAGTGAGGACACTGCCATTGCATGAGGGCCACCTGACCCAGGATGGTGTCATCTTGAGATCATTACCTAATTACATCTGCAGAGACCTACATGCAAAAGAGGCCCTATCCCGAGGTCCCAGGTGCACTTGGGGTGCTAGTCACCCCACTGGGGTAGGACATGGGGAGGCATCGCAGGTGGGGAGGAGGAAGGCAGGTGATTGTCAGGAGGAGGAAGGCAGGGGAGCAGGGGCATGTGGGCCAGTCCATGTGGGATGCCTGATACACTTCCAAGAGGGTGCTGGGCACAGAGTCCCGTCTGGGAGCCCGTGTGTGCTCATCTACAAACGGGGGAGTCATGGGCAGATCAGAGGGTGTAAGTCATGAGACAGATGAGATCATCCGCCCCAGGTGCAGAAGGAAGCTGCCCCGGGACTCCAGGCAGGGCCTGGGAATGGGCCAGCGTTTGGCAGGTGGAGGACGAGCACTCTGGAGGTAGGACAGCTGGATCACCAGGAAGCCGGGAAGGGTGGGTGCCTGGTGTCCTGTTGTGAGGTCACAGGGGCATGACAATTGGTTTGGTGCCAGGGCCCCTGGAATGTGGGAGCAAAGGGCGTGTGGGGCTCTGTGCCCTCACAGTGTGTCTCAGGGAGAGCTAGGTCCTGTTGCATGGAGGCCACCACCCTGCCTGCCCAGCCAAGGGACTGCCTGCCACCTTTGGTTTCTGTCTCCAGCCCACTGTACCCTCCCACCAAGCCAAGGCAGCATTGTGTCCTGATGCTCAAGATGTTGTGAGGTCTGACGCTGTCCGGCCGCTGCCTGTCCTTGGCTTGAGCTTAGAGAGGAGAGCCATCGGGATGGATCAGGGGCCACCTCTGCCATCTTGACCTCAGGGTCCCACATGGCTCCCTAAATATGTCCCCTTAGCTTTGAAGAGTTGCACGTCACTGGTGGTCCTGGGAGGTGTCTGCTCCCACAAGAGCCCCGCAGAGTAGGTGTGTGTCCTGCCCACTGTGGCCAGACAGTGAGTGGTCACACCCATGCTGGGGTCGGCTCCAGCGGTAACTGCAGGCTGCCCAGCAGGGGGGCCTGGCCTGTCTTCAAACCCTGAGGGCCAATCAGAAGGACCAGAGGACCTCTCTCAATCTGGTGAGAGCCAGGGCTACACACTGACCTCACCTTGAGCAGGAGCCTTTGGGGTGAGGGGGCGCCCCCTGGCTGCAGCCAGTGCTCCCAAGATCCCCAGCACCTTTCATGGAGTGGACGAGCTCCAGGTACAGCTCTCCATCCATTTTCCTTTAGACCCCCTCCACCCAGGCGGTGGCCTCTCCTGGGCTGTGGGAGCAGGAACCAGCCCCCAGCACCCACCTTGGTGGTCTCCCAGACAGGCGCCTGCAGTCCAGGGCCCTAAGGAGCTCTGGGACCAGGGTTGGGGTGAGGATGCTGCCGAGCGCTGGCTGGAACCCAGGCGGAGGAGGTTCCCAAGTGAGTCCTTCACCCACAAGGCCGGTTCTAGCCCATGGGGAGGGGACCATGGGGACTGGGGTCCTCGGGTTCCGGGGCTGCAGCCTGGGGTGTGGAGGAGCTGGGCTCACTTAGCGGCATGGAGACATGGGTGCGGGGACTCCACCTCCAACCAGCCAGCACCTCTCCTTTCGGGACGGGGGGTGGAGGGGGTACAACTTGCCTGTGCCAAGCCGTCCTCCACAGCGGGAGGAACCCTTGGCGTGGGCCTGCAAGAGAGCAGCACCTCCCGCGAAAATCCTCTCCTTGCGGAGTGCCCCGGCAATCCTGCTGGCAGAAAGTGGTGGTGACAGGAGAGACGCAGGGTCCCTGGCCCCACTGCAGTCGTTGGAGTGGCACGTGGGCAGAGGCCACTGGAGGAGCCTAGGGGAGGCTCGGGGAGTGACGCCCAGACCATCTCAGAGGGCGGAGTAAGATGCGGGGGCGGGGGGCACTGGTGCCTGTGAACGTTTGGGTGACACTGCCATGTGTGCGAGGCTGGGTCGGGACAGCAGGTGAAGCTCGGAGGTCACAGTCAGTTCTTTACAGGACGCCTGTGAGTAGAGCCCTGACCTGCACCCCGCGTGCATGTCCAGGGCTCCCGGTGTCTCCCCTGCGTCCCTCTGCGCCTGCCCAGCGCCCCGTGTGCCTGCCCAGGGCTCCTGGTGCCTCCCCAGCGCCCCCTGTGCGCCTGCCCAGTGCCCCATGTGCCTGCCCAGGCTCCCCGCGCCCCCTCTGTGCCTGCCCAGGGCCCCGTGTGCTTGCCCAGGGCTCCCCGTGCCTCCCCTGCGCCCCCTCTGTGCCTGCCCGGCGAAGCCTGTGCTCCCTGTGAGCCTGCCTGGGTGAGCCCTGTGGACCCCCAGTTGCAAGCCGGCGCTCTTCTGCAGTAGGAGAGGAGCAGAGTGTCCCGCTGCCCAGGGCAGCGCCTGTGCCAGGGGAGAACCCAGGAGGGCTGAGGAGGCGCGTGGTGGGCCCTAAGGGGAAGTCTCAGGGATGCCTGGTGGGGCGCTGGCTGCGACCTCGGGGGGGGGGGGTCTCTACTGAAGCGAGGTCCCAGGAGCTGCTGCTTCTCCCACTCTAATGCAGAATGCACTGGTGACTCCTGCAACTGCTACCTTGGCTCTGCAGGACAGAGCAGTGGACATGCCACTGCCTCGGGCTCTGTTGATTTGGCGATGCACAGAGGGAGGGACCGGGGAGGGGAGGGCGGAAGGGAGTTGCCGCCCCCACCTGGTGGAGCCTTCAGCTGGCTGAGGCCAGAGTGCGGTGGAGTCTCAAGAGCTGAGCGAGCAGGACAGGACCAGGGCTGAGGAGCACATGAGCCGCCCCAGTATGGGAGCCCTGGGCTGCTGGGCCTACTGGTGCGGTCCAGGAAGGGCCCTGTGAACTGAATCCCACGGAGCACAGGGGTCTCACAGCAGCCCAATTAACAGGAGCATTGAGAAGTGAGCCTTTCTGGGGGAGAGGTCTCCTGGGCGGACAGGGCAGGGTGTGTGCTCCGGAGCCAGCCACCTGCAGATGGCACCCCATCACAGCCTCTGAGCCGGGCCCACCTGGACAGTGGCTCAGCTTAGCAGCCCCTGCTTCCCAGGCTGTAGCTGGGGGGCCTGGAAGGTGGGGGAGGTGGGCACACTGTGCCACCAGAGGGAAAAGGCACAGGGACTCCTGGAACCTTGCCAGGGGGTGCCTCTTCAAGTGACGGGACACCTGCACGTTCTGTTGACCTCTCGGGTCATGCAGAGTGCCAGGTGGCACAGAGGAGCCAGCAAGGGTGCGGGCTAGGCTGGCTCCCTCTGCATCCCCATGTCTGCCTGGGTGAGGCTTCATGAGCAGAAGATGGCTGTCCTTGAGACCACAGAATGTGACACAGAATGTGTCACACACCCGGGAGCGCCCAGCCCACACAGTCCAGCAGCCCTCACCTGATGACCAGGAGAATGGGACAGAGAACAGGGCACTCACAGCCCTGTCCTCCTCCCAGGCCATGGCGTCCCCCAGGATCCAGGCTGTCATCCGGGAGAGGCACAGGATGAGGGAGTGTCCCGTGTGGGAAGAGGTGACCGCGCAGCTGGTGTATGTGGACATCAATGCCAGGACTGTGTGCTGGTGGAATCCACTGTCTGGGGAGGTGCAGACCGTGGGCCTGAGTAAGTGGATCTGGGGGGCTGCAGACGGTGGGCCTGAGGTACCTGGGGCTTGCACACCTGTGTGGCTGATGACACCTGTGGGCTCACGCACCTGCATGGCTGACCCGTGAGCCCACACACATGGGAGGTACCTGTGTGTCTGTGGGGCTTGCACACCTGTGTGGCTGATGACCCCTGTGGGCTCACACACCTGGGAGGTACCTGTGTGTCTGTGGGGCTTGCACACCTATGTGGACGACGACCCCCTGAGGAGCAGAAGCAGAACTCTGGGAGCGTCCCCCACTCACCCTCACCCTCCCCCTCCCCAAGGGCAGGTGCCACTGTCCCCCTTGCAGATCAGGGCTGGCCCCAAGTCTGTGTCTGGCCTCAGGCACCGTGCTGTGGAGGACTGCCCCAGGCCCAGCGGTCCTACCCGAGGGCTCAGGGGCACCCGCGGCTCTCACACTGGCACTGACGTGAGGAGAGGCCAGCGCTCTCCGCTCCTGCAGTCCTGGTGGCCCTGCAGGCAGGCTCGGCAGCCTCCAGTCCCATCTGGAGGCCCTGTGGTGCCCGTCGTGGGGAGGGGGTTGCAGAGAGGTGGTCCACGCAGGCCCAGCAGGACTGGTCCTGTGCTGAGACGTGCTCTGTGCCCTGACGGTGCCTCCTGGTGGGAGCCCCATGGGTGGGGTGGCACTGTCTCCTGGAGACGCAGCAGCTGGGCCACCCTGCTGTCCTCTGCCCTCCCAGGAGACCCTGTTGGCTGTGTGTCTCTGCGCAGAGAGGGCAGCTACGTGGTGGCCTCTGGCACCTGCCTTGGCCTCCTGGACTGGGCGACGGGGCAGGTGGAGTGGGCAGCCTGGCTGGACAGGGACAAGCCCCACAACAGGTTCAACGACGGGAAGGTGGACCCCGCCGGGAGGTTTGTGGCAGGTGGGCTGCTGAAAGGACTGGCCCAGGCCACCTGGAGAGCCTCCTGTCATGGCGGGTGCCGGCTGGGTGGGGACCTCAGGAGCCCTCCCCAGGCTGCGGGCAAGCGGCCCCCCGAGGCCATGCAGGTGCTGGGCATCCCACAGGTTCCCTCCCACTCCAAAGCCCATGGCTTCCATGTCATTCTTCCTGGGTCCCTTCCCAGAGAGGACCCTGGGAGGGTCGAAGCCGCCAGGGTGGGGCAGCGGCCAGGGCCGGTGGCCAGAGGCCATTCACGTGCGGCTGAGGGCCCTGCACCTCTGCCTGAGCAGGACTCTTCCCAGTGGGACATCTCTGGGGTCCCCCCTTCCGCCCAGCACAGAGGCTCACTCACAGATGCCGCCTGAGGGCCATCCTGCCTGCTGCCCCCCGACTGAGGGTGACCACAGCTCTCTGCACAGCTGGTCTGTGTGGGGTGAGCAGGGCAGGGTGGGGCGCTGCCCACTGACCTTCCACTCTCTCCAGGCACCATGCCAGAAGCGTCCGCCCCAGGACTGTGGGAGCCGGGGCAGGGCTCCCTGTACACACTCTACACTGACCGCTCCGTGGTCAGACAGCTGGACCAGCTGGGCATCCCAACGGGCTGGACTGGTCCCTGGACCACCGCACTCTCTACCACGTGGACTGCCTGGACTACTCTGTGCGGGCCTATGACTACGACCTGCAGACAGGAGGCCTGGGTAGTGGCTGCGGTTGCTAGCCCCCCACGCCCTCCCCAGGCAAAGGCATCCGTGGCCAGGCCCCCACACCCTCCCTGGGCGGGGCCACCGTGACCAGCCCCCCACACCCTCCCTGGTATAGGAGCCTCCTTGGTCAGCCCCCACGCCCTCCCTGGGCGGGGCCTCCAGTGGCCAGCCCCCCACGCCCTCCCAGGATAGGGGCCTCTGTGGCCAGCCCTCCACACCCACCCTGGGCGGGATCCTCCGTGTTCCTCCCCCGACACCCTCACGAGTCCCCTCCTGGGGTCCCAGAAGCACCACTGGGTCTGTCACTCCCTCCCGTTGTTAAGGCCACGCTATGTGACCTCCTGGTCTGGGCAGTGAGGGGCCACGCGCCTCTGTCTGTCCTGCCGCAGCAGACCCACAGTTGGTGTGCCAGATGGAGCCAAAGCAAGGCATGCCAGATGGGCTGTGCGTGGACACCACGGGGACACTCTGGGTGGCCTGCATTGACGGAGGCAGGGTGATCCGCATGGACCCCGAGACAGGTGTGTGCACAGGTCAAGGAGGGGCCATGCGGTGCTCTGTGCCACGGTGTTCAGGGTTCAGGAGTGGGAGGGCAGCACCACTTGCTTGTCCAGCTACAGGGCGACCTGTGCAGATGGCGGGAGTGCCAGGGTGGCCCCTCAGCACTTGGCCAGTGCAGGGAACACTGGGGCTGATGTAGCAAATGACCACAAACCAGCGGTTGAAAACCACAGGACCTTGTCCTCTCCCACCCTGGAGGGCGGAGGCTGGACCAGGGTCCCAGGCTGAGCTCCCTGCACAGGCTCCAGGGTGCTCCTCCTGCATCTCCAGCTCCTGGGCTCCAGGCGGCCCTGGGCTGGTGGCCCCTCACTCCAGTCTCTGCCTCCGTCTCCACGGGGCTCCTCCTCTGGGTCTGTGTCCCCCCCTCTGTCTCTTGGGAGGACACAGCCATTGCATGAGGCCCCCTGACCCAGGAGGAGCCCATCTTGGGACCCTTCACTAATGACCTCTGCAGATACCCTGTTCCCACAGCAGGTCCCACTCACAGGTTCTGGGGTGCAAATGTGGACAGGACCCACCTCTTACCATGGTGTCCAGCTCCCTCCACGGGCTCCAGGGGGCTCCTCCTGCCTGTCCAGCTCCTGGGCTCCAGGTGGCCCTGCTGACCCCTGCAGTCCACGAGGCAGGGCAGAGTTGGGGATCAAGTGCTGCAGGTGCCAGGGAGAACCAGCAGGCCCAGGGCCCCACTGGGGAGTGGGCACAGTCAGGCCACCTGGGGTCCTGCAGCAGGTGGGTGGCTGGGCTTCAGGGACGTACCTGAGCTTTACTCACAGGGACACGGCTGTGCACCCTGGAGATGCCAGTGTCCAGGATGACGTCCTGCAGCTTCCGGGGGGCTGACTACTCCAACCTGTACGTGACCTCTGCAGTGGACAGCCTGAGTCCAGAGCAGCTGTTGCGGGAGCCACAGGCAGGACACGTCTTCAAGGTCAGTGGGGTCTCCCTGCCAGGGTCAGCTTGGCTCCCAGCCACGTCTTCTCAGCCAGGTGTAATGCATCTTGACCTTGGGGACTGGAGCGGGCTTGGCAGCATCCATGGGGACATCTGTCCACCTGGAAAACAGCCTTCCCGAGGCCCCACATGCCCTGCTGTGCACAGAGACGTTTACGGGAGGTTTAGGAAGCTGGCGTGGCTGGTGCTGCGGAGAGATTCAGCCGCGCCCAGGGACTTATCTCCACCCTCTCCTCCCGCAGGTCATGGGCCTCTGGCGTCCCGCCCCTTCGCTGGCTGAGGGACCCCACAGTCCAGCGCAGCTCAAGCCAGGCCTTGGTCCCTGGGGTCGGGCCAGGCTCCGCTCTGGCAGGGCGCTCCCTGCCTGACCACTGTTCACAGCTGACAATAAATGTGGCCACTGAGGTTGGCCTCTCTGCCTCCACTTGGTGCTGGGTCACTGAGAGCAGGAACCTGAGCATGGGCTGTAGCTGTGCTGCACGTGCACAAGTCCATCAGCCAGGGATCAAGCTGGACATCAGGTTCCTTCACAGCACTGGGCACCCAGCACCTCTACTTCCAAACAGCCTACTTACCCCTGAAAGGCACCTGCACTCCAGCAGTGACCCTGTCCCCTGCCCAGCCCCATCACCTGCCCACTGTCTGTGTCTGGATGGCCTGCTGTGGATAGGTCCTGCCCACAGAGTCCACACTATGTGACCCTCTGTGTCAGCTTCTCTCACCGAGCCCCAGGTCTCAAGGTCTGTCCCACTTGCAGCACGTGTGAGAGCTGCAGTCCTTTTCAGGGCTGAGTAATATTCCATCATGTGGATGGACTCGTCCTATTCCCCATTCCTCCTCAGTGGACAACTGGGTCACTTCTCCTTTCTGACCCTTGTGCATGGTGCTGCTGTGAATATTCACACACAAGTTTTCATTCCAGTCTCTGTTTCTGGGTCTTCAGGGATATACCTAGGCTGGAGGTACTGGTGGAGTGGGAACTCCCTGCGTAACCCCGAGAGGCCCCTGGGCACTGTCCCTGCACAGGGGCTCCACTCTGCCCTCCCCAAACGCACATGCTAAGAGTGATGTAGAATGTTGAGTCCCCAACTCCATAGGGCTCAGCACAGAGCTCCTGGAGGTCCCCACACAGGTGGCCTGCAGGTGCACTCAGCTCTGCTTGCCAGCTGCCGGGAGTCTCTGTCCTGGGGTCCCCGTGGTCATGTGGCAGAGTGCAGCTTGTGCTGTGGGCAGGGGCGGGCAGTGCTGTGACCAGGAAGGGCTGTCCTGGGGCTCAAGCCTCCATCTGGGAGTGAGGCCTGTGTGGAGTTGGTCCTGGCCTAGTGGTCAGTCCTGGAGAGGGGCAGCTGGCCTGGGAAAAGGGAGAGACCTGGTCTCAGGTGCAGCCCCTGATACAGGGTGCTGAGGGGCCAGGCGGGGACCTTGGGGAGGCCAAACAGGGGCCCAGGAAGTGGGCATCCTCCTGCTGACCACCACTGTCTGCTCAGGGGCTGGGAGTCCAGGAGGCATCTGGGCTTTGCCTTGTCTACATTGGAAAGCACTGGTGTCCACTGTCTGTGTGGTGCTGGTGTATGCCACACAGAGCGCTGGAGAGGACACCTGTAAGACAGTGGACGCCCGCGCTGCCCCAGGCCAGGGGGCGGGGTGCCGGGTCCTCACTGAAGTGTCCCTCCTGCCCACCCTGGCTGCGCAGTTTCTGTGCCTGCCTGAGCAGATGGTCAGCCAGGAGAGTGGTCACCTGGGCCAGCACTCACCTCTGTGGGAATGCCCACAGCTTGCCAGCCGCTGCCCCAGGTCTGCAGGGACCTCTTCTATATATGGATATCACATTAGAACCAAAAGCCACAGAGCAGCTATTATATCAGTTTTCAATGCAATATTATGTTTAACATATGATACAAAAGGCCACAGAGCAGCTATATCAGTTTTTGATACTATAGGATGGACATAATAATAGTGTTAAACACAACAGGGCAGCTATTATGTTACCTTTAGATGCAACAATATAGATATCATATTAGCTGTGAAGGCCACAGGGCAAATACTATATCAGTTTTATTTTTATTTTTTTATGTTTTTGGTATCAGAGATTGAACTCAGGAGAACTCGACCACTGAGCTACATTCCCAGCCCTATTTTATATTTTATTAAGATACAGAGTCTCACTGAGTTGCTTAGCGCCTCACTTTTGCTGAGGCTGGCTTTGAATTCACAATCCTCCTGTCTCAGCCTCCTGAGCCACTGGGATTACAGGCATGTGTCACTGCGCCTGGCCTTAGATCAGTTTTAAATCCTATAATATGGACATTGTATTAATATCAGAGGCCACAGAGCAGCTGTCATATCAATTTTAAATGCTATATTAGTCTTAAAGGACACAGGGCAGCCACTTTATCAGTTTTTGATGCTCTAGTATGGATATCATATCAGTATTGAAGCCCATGGAGCAGGAATTATATCACTTTTAGAAGTAAAAATATGGATACTGCATTAGTATTATATTAAAATAACTTGAAATGCCATTATTTTATTTTATTAATTAATGGATATCATTTTATTATAAAAGCCTACAGTGTAGCTATTTTAGTAAATTTGGAAGATAGAGCATGGATATTATATTCACATTAAAGGCCAAAGGGAAGCTAGTATATTAATTTTACATGCTGTTCTATGGATATCATAATAATATTAAACCACAGGGCAGTTATTATATTAGCTTAAGATGCAATAAGATGGATATTCCATCAATATTAAAAGCCACAGGGCTTGTATTATATTTCTTTCAGATGTTATAGTATAGATATTATATTAGTATTAAACGTCACAGGGGAGCTAAGTATTAGTTTTAGAGTTTATACTATGGATATGATGTTAGTATTAAAGACAACAGGGCAACTGTTATATTATTTCCAATGATAAAGTATGGATACTATATCAGAACTATAGGCCACAGGGCTGCTATTTCTTAGTTTTAAATGCTATAGTATGGGATATCATAAAAGAATTGAAGGTCACAGAGCAGGTATTATATTCGTTTTAGATGCTGTAGTATGGATTTTATATAGTATTAAAAGGCCACAGGGCAACTATCATTTCAGTTTTAGGGGGCACAGTGTTGATATTATTAAAGGCCATAGGGCAGCTAGTATGTCAGCATTAGATGCTATATGTGGATTTTGTATTAACATGAAAGGCCACAGGAGAGCTATAATATTACCTTAAGAGGCCACGTATGGTTATGATATTAACAACAGTGTCACAGGCAGCTCCTACAGTACTTAGTATAGGTGCTGTAGTATGCACACCATATTAGTATTAAAGCCCAGCCAGGCAGTGGCACATGCCTGTAATCCCAGTGAGTTAGGAAGCTGAGGCAGGAGGATTACAAGTTCAAGACCAGCCTTAGCAACTTAGTGATTCCTCCAAGTAATTTATCAAGACCCTGTGTCAAAATAAATTAAAAAAATCTAAAAAGGGCTGGGATAGGGCTGGGTTAAATAGGGGTAGGGCTGGGTTAAATGCCCCTAGTTTCAATTCCTAGTATTAAAGCCAAAACTTCAGTTATTATATTAGTTCTATATGCTATACTATATATAACTTTTTAGTATTAAGCTATTATTTTCATTTTAGATACTATAGTTTGGATATCATATTATTATCAAATGCCAGAGCAGTAGGCATTTAGTTAATTTATATTAACTTTAGATGCTATATATAGTATGGATATCATAATAGTATCAAAGTTCAGAGGGCAGCTACTATATTACTTTTAGAAGACATAGTATAGAGATTTTATTAAATTTAAGGCTAAAGGCCATAGGGCTGATATTATATCCATTTTAAATGCTATATTATAGATATTGTATTATATGGCTATCATATTCAAGGCCACAGATTAGCTATCGTATCAATTTAAGATGCTATAATAAGGGTGTCGTATGGGAATTGAAGGATACAGGGCAGCTATTATATCCGTCTTAGATGCAATCATATGGCACTACATTAGTGGCCACAGGGCAGATATCATATCCGTTTTAGATGCAATCATATGGCACTACATTAGTGGCCACAGGGCAGATATCATATTAGCTTGAGATGCTATAGCGTGGATATTAATTTAGTATAAAAGACTACTGGGCAGCTATTATATTAGTTTCAGTTGCTATTGTTTGGATGTATTATTAACATTAGAGGTTACAGGGAAGTTATTATATTAGTAACAGTATTAAACCCTCAGAACAGTTATTTTATATTAGTTGAACGGTTAGGGTTAGAGTTAGGGTTAGGTGCTATAGAATAGATATTACTTCAATATTAAAGCCTCAGAGCAGCTATTATATTAATGTAGATGCTGTAGTATGGATATTATACTAATGTGAAACGCTACATGAGAGCTATACTATCTTATTCTGCAGCCACAGTATGCATATATTAACACTAAATACCACACGGAAGTTTTTACAGTACTGTAAGATGCTACAGTAAATATACTACATTACTAATAAAGGCCAAAGTTTAGTTGTTATATTAGTTTTAGATACTATATTATTTTTAGATAGTATTCTGAGTATCATAATAGTATTGGCAGCTATTATATCAGATTTAGATGCTACATTATGGAGAATTTATTAATATTAATGGCCAAAGGGCAGCTATCTTATCAGTTTTAGATGCCAAAATAGGTAATCACATTAGTACTAATAGCTGCAGGACAGCTATTATATTAGTATTAAGACCACAGGGGAGATATTATATCCATTTAGATGATAGAGTATGTATATCTTATTTGTTTTTTATTTTAACGTTATGTTTTTTAATAGAGGTAGGTACAAAGGAAGAGGATGGGATCTTATTGCTTTTATGGTGTGAGGGTTGTGTTTACATTATGAGTAAATGTTTCATTTTGGTCTTCTGTATGCTGCATTCTAAGAGGATGTGCTATGGTTTCAACCAGTGGAACTGAGAACCAAGTGGGGCCGTAGATGACACATCAGGGAGCCTTTAGGTAAGAAAATGTGAAATTTGGGATTCAGAAGGATTCTGTCTTATTGTTACTAATTAGCACTGTAGATGGGGCCTGCAGGTTGTGACTGAGCAGTTTGTAGTTAATACTTCAGTCCAACAGTCTGCTGTCCTGTTTACAAAAGATCTTGGCTCAGTTAAGTATGGAAGTTTTTCTGCTTAGTCTAAGAAAACTATTAAACTTACTGAAATATCTGTTCTCCATTAGGACTTTGAAAACTTTACGAGAAGATGTTTTGGTGCTGGGGATCAAACTTGGGTCCTTGCACACACCAGGCAAGTGCTCTGCCACTGAGCTGCCCCAAATGGGGGAACATGAAAAACAAAAATTTCATGTATCTAGAGAGACACTGAACCCATCTCTTTCTTTTATATAAATCAAACAGAAACAGATTGATAAGG